GGGCGGCTTTGCTTTTTTTTGTTGTTTGGGTGGTTGTTTGGGGGTTTTTTGACAAGTGGTCAGCTTTACCTGCAAAGAGTAGACTCTTGGCAGGCCAGAATCAGAGACACACAGCACACTCTTCCATCCACGCATGAGGCTACGCAGAACTCCATGGGCACACATCCCAAAGGAAGAGCAAACACACCAAGTCAGCGTGCCAAAACAGGATTTTGATGAAGAACACTTCCATGTTGCCAGGTCCCTAACCCACCCAGAGCACAACCTGGGTTCATGCTCAGGGAATTTCATGAACACACAATCTTTGAGAAAAGAAACAGGAAACCATCAACAAGGCAGCTGACAGCCATCAGGGAGAGCACAGAGGATGAACGCAGGGTTATTGTGAATGGTTTTGGGTAACTGCTTACTGTGTCACCCATCCTGGAATGCCAGCCACTTACAAGAGTTGTTGTATACAACTCTTATGCTACTTCCACTGATGCATCATGTCTGTGGAATTAAAGAGTTCTCTGTCGCAAAACCCCAGCCTCTCTCACTTGCCTTTAGTGCTTTGAGGCCAGACCCCATTCATAGTATGGTTTTGGTCAAGCCCACTGCAAGTCTAGAATGCTACAGTGAACTAAAGGAACTGCAATGCATGACTACAAAATAGGTCTTTAACTTCCATGGAATACAACAGTTTATAGAGTCTACATTTTATTTCATAGTTGTTACAAATAGGAGAATCCAACAGAAAACTCTAAGGAGCTCGTTTTTAAACCTTTAACCTCTCAACAGAGAGCCTAAAGCATGAACAGTTCCCCTTCAAACAGGCTCCAGCTAAGTGAAAGTGAAGAAGCTGATCTTTCCGGTGCAACATTTTCAATGTAATTCTCAACATTATAGAGGAAGGTGGGGTTTTTTGTTCTGTTTTGTTTTCTAACTACCACAAGCACCAAAGGTCAATACTGAAACTGAGGTTGGAGATAGCACTGACGAAAAGGAAATAAGGATAGGGAAGTGTGAACTCTCATTAGAATAGAACAAGTCAGCTCCCCAACTCCAGGGTAATAAAAAGTCCCGTCTGCTCCAACACCTCTGGCAGGGCAGGAACAGCAGGAAACGTCTGTGGTTTCAGCTCATCATATGACCCGTTCATGTCATTTCCAGAAGAGCCACAGGTACACAACCATCATTTCCGACGATCACAGCACTACGTCCCATCTAACCTGGAGTGCCCAGGCATCCATGTGTGTAACCAGGAGAACTGTGATGCCTCCACAGTGTTACAAGAGCAGCCTAGAAACTCAGACTTACTTAGAAATGCAGTTTTATTTAGCAGTACCTAACTTGCCTCCAAATAGGGAGCTTTTACACCATCATTTAATCACCTATTAACATCACCTGATTTTTGAACATCCACATTCAAAAGTTTCACCTTAATATAAAAAGGTAATTTAATCAATCTGAAGATACTAGGTATATTTTTTAAAGCAATAAGACATATTGAAAATCAGGAACTTTAAACCTTTTGGATGTATTTTACCCCTTTATTTTGAAGGCTCTTTGGCCACCAACATGGACTATTTCCATACACTACTCTCAAACTTCCAGTTCTTAAGCATTTACCTGTTGCAAGGAAAAAAAAAAAAAGCAAGCCATTTCTGCTGCAGAGAAGTGAGCACAGCCACCTGAAACAGGATGTTTCTAAACATCAAGAAGTTCTGTAAGCACCACAGGTGGTTGGGGGCTAGCTGAAGCCTAGGAATGTCTGCTGAAACTCTTCACGTTGTTAACTCACTTTTACCATTTTGCCCCTAAGAGGAGCTCTGGTGTTCAGTAAGAATCCAGCTTTTTCTCCAAGTGGAAGCTTTTTTTCCCCTCTATGATTGCCATTTCCTAAAAGCAGCAAGAACTCAATTGCTTTACCATCTCCACATCCTTTGTCAAATTTGGCCAGTTTTTTAGCACGTTAAAAAAGCACTATGGAAAAGAACCGAGGACAGCATGACAGTGCAAACCTTATTTAACAAAGCAGGCTAGAACAAGGAAGAACTAGAGAAAACCTACAGCCTCAGCTCAAATGCATCATATCCTGGCCTAGTACAGTTCTTTGGAAGTCTTCTGATGCCCAGACTGAGGGCAGGGCAAGAACAGTGAGCAGCCCTCAGCCCCAGCACGCCCCCTCCCAAGAGCAGGCTTCCTATTTACTTCTCAGGGACCGTGGCCCTGCACTCCTGCTTGGTCTCTGCAAGGATGGCACAGGCCCCTGCAAGGCCCCAGTGCCTTAGGAACATTTTGTCAGGAGACAGTTACAGAAATCCCGGACTTCTAGTTCCATGTTTTGAAATACACAAGTTAGGAAAGAGAGATTTAGAAAAAGGCAGCTTCTTAGCCAAATACACTTAAGGCTTTAACAAAGTGAAGACAGTATAGATGCTGCTGGAAAGCACATTCCTGCACACAGCACCCTCAGTATCCCTGCTCAGCTTGAGTCTGGATATTCTGAGCATCAGGCCTGGCCTGTTTAGTCAGAATTTTCTGCCATGGGGTAAAGATCTGCTTTTGTTCCTCTAGCACCAGCCCTCCCATCAAAGCAGAAGTTCGCTTCTTGCACACAACCCATTCAAATGCTCCAGCCAAGCACAGCTACCAGCCCTCCAGGGTCTTGGCTGCCTTGAATTTTAGTTTTATTCTTTGTACCGCAGATCACATTCCAATAAGGGGTATCAAGCTATAAAATCTTATTACATATTGCAATCAGATACTACAGCAAGTATTATAGAAAAAACACAATCACAAAAGAAAAAAAGGTACATTTATTCATCAAAGCAGACTGCCTCTGAGCCATCACACATTCCATGGAGGGGAAGCAAAGACAAATACTATTCCCCACATCTCCCTCCCCCTCCTAATAATGCAAGATCTCTCCTCTGGCAAGAAAGAGCAGGACATAGCATCTTAAAATGTACACACACTGGCTAACCCTCTTCAAATGATGAGGAGCAAGCCAGACATTCACAAGCCTGCTGACTTTCACCAGGACCCAAGCTCCGATAATATCACCTGCATTTCCCTGTAAGATAAGTTTTTAACCTACTTCTGCCACAAAACCTGAAAATTAATCCCATCGAGATTTGGCAAATACAGTGCAAGTTACAAATTCCGCTGACGACTGATTTCTTCCCTCTTACCCACCTCATAACCTGCCTGACATGACAGCAGCTGGATCCCCCTGACACTAGAGGCCAGATCTTTAACAGCGACTACAGATGGCCCAAGTATGAAGTGAATTTCAGTTCTGGGATGCATCCACCAGCAGCGCCGCACGGCCAGGGGATCTGTTTAAGTGCAACTGGCGTAGGGGGAGTGCAGCACCTCTACCGCCCTTGCAAGCAGCACAGCAGCATGTCAGTGCCTTTAGTTACCACGGCACAGTGGTGTCAGCAAATGGGACTGAATTTTAAAGGAAAGAAGTAAGAGTTTTGAATATTCATATATAAATGGTATCTGCCTACTTTCTGGAAGGAGTGTGCACAGCACATTTCTGACTCCCCAGGTCTTCTATCACACTCATAACTATAGTATCTGAAAGTGCTGACAGGTAAATACAACCTCCTTGTAGAAATATTGTATCCTGCAATTTCTTGATCCACTTCTTCGTGCATGCTTATGTTTCCAAAAAGCTTTAGACAACATTCCTTACTGAGACTCAAACCATTTCACTAATGGGAAATACTTTATTGAAACCACCTTTTTGGAATCAAGGCTCACTCCGATAGCCATACACTGGGCATTCGTAGAATTGCAAAGCCAAGCTGCCAGCAGAAGGCAACTACTTTTATCCAGTAACTGCACATCCATCTGAGAGAATGTTGGAAATGCTGGAAGAAAACATATTTTAGTCCCTCTCTTTCTTTTCCTCATTCTTCATCTGTACTTAGACCTCTCTTTGTCTTTTGATTTCTTAGGACTTCTGCTTCTGTCTGCTTTTTTATCCCAGTCTCGTATTCGAAAGTCTTCTTTGTATTTGTCTTTTTGTTTGCTGTAAGCGCAGTCTCTCTCTTGAGATCGGCTGCGACTCCGACGCCTGTCTGTCTTCTCATTCTTTATCTTCTCTCTACAGCGTTCTCCTTCATGTTTTCGAACAGAATCCTGTTAAATGAATTGGACAGATATGCAGTTATGAGGGAAACATACAAAGGTATGAAGAGAACTAGAAAAGAGTCAAGCATGGCTGGCTCCTCCGCTGAGACTGGTACTACCTGAAACAGATTCACATCCATGATGATTTGAAAGACGTAACACATTAAAAAACCCCACTGTAACTATACAAAGATGACAAGTCTACAGCTTTTGTCAGTATTTATAGAAAAAAGCATGGCTGCCAGGCATGCTGCTGCTTGTATTTCCCAAGGAGCTTTAGCAATAAAAGGTTTTATCAGTAACATTATCAAACTCTTCATAAGCATCACACCAGCTTCTAAGTTAGATTTGGATTTGACTTCTTATCTAGGCAATGCAAGTATTCTGATCACAGGTTTTGGTTCAAGTCCCACAGGCATTCCAGTGCTATGAAAGACCTGCCTGTAATAATCCTTAATGGCCTAAATTCTAGGCTTCAGAAAAATGAACAACACTGTTACAGAGACCAACTACGCACACATGCAAACTACTTTGCTTCCTTGAAGCTATAAATCCACAAGGCAGCATGAATAATCTGATCCTTTTAAATGAACAGTCAAACAATAACACAAGGTGCACAAATTGAAATGGAAATAACCAGATAATGAAAAGTTAGTTGCATTTTGCAGGCTGATGGGTATGGCCCATACAGAAAACACATGAGGACACACTCTTACACAGACATAGTAAACTCTAAGGGGTACAAGTCTACCTAATTTTAAATGTTCTATAAAGGAGACACACACAATATGTGCTGTACTGGCAATGGTGTTTGAGCACACACAGACAAAAACTCTTCAAAAAAAGTGCTGAGAGTTCAGACAGCTAAAAATGAGTAAATTTTGAGTTTCCCTGGCTTTCTGCATACTGTCACTGGGAATGCTAAGTGGCTCAGCACTTGGGCAGGATTTGCTCTGGAGACAAATGAGGTTTATGCAACAAAGGAGGAACTGCTGTCAGCAGAACACCTGCTTTACTTGTTGCACTAGGCAGACAGTATGAAACCACTGAGGCTGTGTATTAGTAAATGGAGGAAAGATGCTGTAATTACCCAGATTGTGAAATGTCTTGCTAACAAGATTATGGCACAGCACACCCTAGAACGACTATGTGGAGACACCAGCACCTGTACAGGCCACAGGCATCACAGCAGTTTCAAAAGTAAAAAGATAAAGATCACTTAGAAAGTTGCCATTTCATTTCAAGAAACTAAAGATTTTCTTAACACACAACACTGAGTTTTGACATATGAACTAACATTTTCAAGCACCGCTAAAGACTAGTTTGTTCCTGTTATTCAACTAAGATATACAGGGAAAGAAAATACAAAAGGAAGCTTCAGAATCCTGCAGAAAGATACATATACAACTTGTGATTAAGGTGGTAGGCACTTTTGTTTCAAAGGTACACCTGAAATTTACTATCACTATATGCTGTAGTAGATACCATTTTATGGGATTTTAATAACAAAACTTGTAAACACAGATCATTGTGAACTGCAAAAAATGTCTGCATTAAATTACACAGTATTTCTTTCTTCATTTCACATATGATTTTAAATTTTCTAAATATGTACTCATGACAGCAGCATTCAGAATTGTATGGCTAAAATCTATCCTGCATGTACAAACAAGAAATCTTTATTTAAAATAATAGTGAAAAAAACTCTTCTCCAAGTAGAGCTTTCATCCAGAAAGGCAGTGATCAGGGTGGTTCCCAGAGCAAACACCACCTTCAGAATTACTTAGATAATGCTAAAATACTAGGGTTACAATAAGCAATATAAACCCCCTCATCATAGTCACAGATTTGATCTTTAGCTACATAACCAAAAATTTCTGCTATTCCTGAGTACAGTAATCTCACTGGTGACCAAATGCTTATTCCACATCTTTACTGTCAAACTTTATTTCAGTACAGATTTTAAAATGTGAATCCACCAAAAAGGAGTGGTGCTTCCAGCTATTTGTAAGAGCTTTGTCCATTCATCTTCAGAACGATGCACAGCCATATCAACTCTTGTAACAGAAGCCTCACTCTCCATATGTTTGAACAAGACAGGTTCCAAGCCCCATTGTGGCAAAGCTTGAGTAAACATCAGAAGATGGGACACACTGGTGGTGGAGTAGAGGAACAAGACAAAAATATTGGCCAGAAAAACAAATGGAGGGCTTGGCTCACTGCTGCCTTCTAGCTGGTTTGTTGCTGAAGTTTCCTCCCAGCACATGGGAGAAGAGAAAAACAGAACAGAACTCAGCTGAAAAATCTACCAAGCCAACACTGGACACGGGCTACTGGCCAACTCAGGGCAGGGAAGAGGTTAGTGAAGATTTGAAAGTAAAGACAAATAGCCCACCCTGAATGCCACAGAAAAGGGCAACTTGCTGAAAGGATTAAACAAAGTCATATGAGCATGGAGTCAGCTAAGCACAACGACCCTCAGAGAAGCATGTAAGGTACAGGTGTACAGCGCAAGTCTGGAAGTGCCACAAAAAAAGTCATCACAATAGCTAATATAATCACAGGGTAAAGAAAAAAATGCAGCAATATGAATTAATAGAATTAATTGCATCTTAGTTCCTCAGCCAAAATGGGTTATGTTTCCCCTTAAATAAGATTTTACTTTTTTTAAGTCTTTGGCACAGAAAAAGATCAATTCTCTAAACACTCTAAGTTACTAAAAACAACAGTATTTTGAGATCAAATTTTTTATTCCCTATCCAAGTCAGAAACATGCTGTTTTCCTACTGGAAGAGAAAGAAAAAGATTCCTACTTAAAAACAGGCTCTCTCTTACTGCTGAAGTCCAGATTTCTCAATCCAGGATCACAGCCTCTCATCAGTCAATGAGTAAGTGATGATCCCCCCAAGTATTTTAAACCAACACTTCTGTTGGTGAACACACATGAGGAAGAAAATATGAAAAGAGGGAAAGACACTTCTCTAGAAGTTCATGGCTTGCTTTGCCAAAAGTAGGAAGTTGCCAAACAGCACTTGCAGGTAAAGCAGCTAGAAATACTGTGACCACGAAAGAATAAATATGCCACCTCTACATATATTAAGCACACTAGTTAGAGGTTAAAAGGAGAAAAAAAAAAAAGAATAGAGACAACCTTTGCAGGAGGGAGATTTTGATCAAACTTGACCCCAAATATAGAGTGTCCAAATAGCAGCAAGAGCGTGAAATTAAAACCAGAAGAAAATCAGTATCTCTGTCAAAACCATGCACTACAGAAACCCGAAAGTCAGGAAGCCCCGAAGTGTCACAAAAATCCCTTGGATAAGCTATGCTTCTCCACAGATCCAGTTACCTTAAAAGAAAAAAAAAAATCCAAGAAACCAAAAAACAGAGAAAACTGGAAAGGGAACCAAGTCATAATATAGATCTCAAGTAGAAGCATGACTGTATTCAGAAGAACTGTACTAAATCCTATTCACAAACCCACATGGCAGTCCAGCCTCCTGTTCCAGACCCACATCCTGTTACGTACTAAAAGCAAGTCACAACACCCTACCTCTTCTACCCTCTGGAATCAAGTCAAACAGCATTAAGATTCAAAAATATAGTCTTAAAACATTAACAGAGAGGCTGAAGATTCAGGAAATGGCTGCCAGACTAAGAAAAGGATGAGTCAAAATATACTAAAGAAAAAAAAACAGCAAGAGAACAGAAAAACGACTCAACATCATGGAAACTATTCAAAAAACAAAACTCCTTCAAGTCATTGCTGGAGCTGGTAGCACAAACTGCAATTTCAGTTGCCAGAACTTCCCATTATAAGACCCCGTTCTCTGTTAATTAAAATCTCTGCCATACTAGGGGCTCAGGGTGGAAGTTCAAGTACGAAGCATGACTACTGTGGTCTTTGGTCAACTAGTTGTGGAAGGTCTGCTGTTGTTTTGTTTTGAAGTTCTCACCTCAAATATATTCTAATATTTCCAAAATAGGGTTAAGGGAAAATGCTTTGTTTGCCTATATTACAAAATGCTACCGTTCATCAAAAAAAGTTTCCATACAGTTTATACTTTGTGCTGGCCTCAGTATTTACACTGAACAAACTCTGCCTCAGGAACATGGTTCCTTCCCCTGTTTTTGTATAAATCCCCAGATTACACCCAAATTATAAAGTAAAAAAAATATTTTTTTAAAATTAGATTTTCTATACTAAACAGGATTGTCAGCTAAATCGCCTACAGACCTCATCTGGAAAGATGACATTTGCCCAAGACACTTACTGAATCTTTAAATGAGACTGAGTACATACTGCTCAGTATGTACATACTATACAATACACAAGAATAAGAATATTCTAGCACAGACACAGAGATAAATTCTTCCCAGAAATGCATTTGCACAGCTCCAAGAGGCTGTTGCTTGCCATCAGAGAATAGAAATAAGCCTCCACCTGTGATTTTGGGTGTAAGAAGGCTAAGCTATTTACACCAAAATGGGCAAAGGTAAGCAACAGAGAAGAAAGCAGTGGGAAAGAAGAAACCAGAATAAAGCAGCAGCAGACTAACAGGAACAAGCCACAATAAAAGCAGGCAACTAAATCACAAAAAGATATACAGACACAGAAGAGATCAGAGTCAAGGACTAGAAAATACTCTTTTCCAGAACTTGCAAAGAGCACCAGGAATCCCTCTGTCCTCATGGTTTTGTGCAATGAAATCCACTGCTAAATGTGTCTGGCAGACCACTTGTAGCAACTGTAACAGAGATTAACAGCCTAATAGCTGCAGATGTACCTACCACCTGCAGGGGTGGAGACATATGAAAGAATTTAAAATATTCTCTGCTGATAACACATGACCAGCCAGTTCCACAAGTGTAATTTATGAACCATCAAGAACAAAGATTACTTCCAAGAATATCTGTTTCAAGAGTGTTAAAATGACAATGCCAATCAGCCAAAAAGACAGGAGGAAGTCTAAATCAACACTAGTCCAGACCTCATCTATGTGTATGCTCCAATCAAGACTTTAATTATTTGAACAGGCCTCTTCCCTCCACCCAAAGGATCCTGACAGAATTAGTAGACAAACAGTAACAAAAAGAGTTGTACCCCAAATGAGCAATAGGGCTCACTAGTGGCACTGAAAAAAAATCTAATTGTTATTTTTAGCATCACAGCAAGAAATGATGCAATGGAACAACAGAATCACATGTATTCTGTGTACTCAGAACGTAGAGCAGCACTCAGAACTTGTGTCAGGACAATGGCTTTATTTACTGTGGCTGGATACTTATCACCGTCTGCAAAGTTGCTAGAAGACAGCTTTGTTCTCACTCATGAAGCTTGCACTGTTAAAATACTGGTTTTTTTTTTTGTTTTTCATCATAGCTCTATTTTCCCTAATGCTCACACTTCAATGGTGGTTAACCCTCCATTTTATCATTGCAGTCATTGTTTCCATGAAACATCAACATCTTGACTATCCTAAGTTCACAGAAATGTGAGAACGCTGACCTGACAGGCTGCAGTGGAACTAGTGAATGAAAGAACTACTGGGGGTTTTTTCATCTCCTCCACAGCCCCAGTCTTACAGCACTGTATGCTCACACAATACAGGTGCAAGCAAACCTGCATACAGATTTTACACAAATGCTTCCAGAACAGTTAAGGGTTTGGTTGGTTTTTGGTCTTTTTTGTGGTGGGTTTTTTTTTTTTTTAAAAAAAAAAAAAAAAAAAAAAAAAAGGAGAGCAAGCAAAAGCAATTTTGTTTCTGATTCCATACAGGAAAAAGCCAACACATGCTGGTCTGGCAAGAAAATGAGAAATAGTTTGGATTCATGAAATACGACTAACTACTAGTTTATGACTGGGAGTATGTGAACAACAGGTTCTAAGTGCTGAAGATCTACTTTATGTTATGAGAGGCTACACTGTATCTTCCCAATGTTTTGGCAAAAAGCCATTAAGACATACCAAGCTTCAAAAGACCAGGAAGATTTGGAAAACCTCTTTTATAATCAGATACTAACATCAGTCTTTTGTATGTTTACAACTGCTGTATTTTAAGGGACTTTGCATACCATGTCCTTGGTTCAACATCAGACCTTTTTTTTCCTGGCTTCTCTTATTAGGAGAATAATAAACAGGTATAAAGTTAATGCATGAAGAGGTAAGTACCTTAGATTTTTTGGTCCTTTTGTCATCCTCTTCATCTTCAGAGTGGTGGTGCTTTTTCTTCTTTTGCTTTTTAGCCAAATGCGACTGACTTGTTTGAGACTCTTCTATATCCTCATCTAACACAAGGTCATACTTGGCACTGATGGTCTTTGTTAAGGACAAATCTGTTACTTATTATCAATAAACAGCAGTACATAAAAGCTCATGAAACAAACAAATCCCTGTTTATCAGATCAGAGTTTACCAAGACTTACCATGTATTTCAGTCAGAACAGGATCGTACACACTGAGAAAAAAAAAACAAACAGCTGTGCTAAATTGACTGACTGAATTCTGTCCTGTCAACAGTACAGCCAGGTCCCAATTCTCCTTTCTTTTCTATCAGCAGATATCTGAACAAGCTATGGTCTTCTTTTCTCTAGGGCTAATCACAAGCAAAGTATAATCTGAGAGCATGATTTAGGTACTACTGTGGTCTCATTTTGGATGCAGCAGGTCCCCTCTGAAACTACTCAAAACTCTGTTATGTCATTCCAGGGTTGTAGATTGGGAACATTATTTACCTGCACGCAACATGGAAGTGAAACAGCACATTCTATTTAACTGAATTCATCTAAGTCATCAAATGAAACCCACAAAATACTCAATTCCATCTCAAACACCAAATAGTCATATGAAGCCTAAGCAAAACACCCATTTGACAAGCTTTAAGAAGTCTTTTCCAGGCTGTTTTCACAAACCATGCTTAGTTCAAGAAATACCTTTGACTAGAAAAGGATACTCCTGCTTTGGCTTTACCTTCTCTTTCAGAGCAAGTTTTGAAGGTTTGTCACGTTCCTTTTCATACTCTTTGAAATCATCCTTGGTATACCGTCCACCTGTCCACAGAAAAACATACTTAATTCATTCCAAATAAAAAAAACCAACCAAACAACCAAGACCCACACCTATCATTAAGTTCTGCTTATGCATTTAAGGACTCTTCATAACCATTCAGAGCTGCATAGCAGGACACAGCTCCACAAACACCACTAAAATCTGGGTAACGGAGTAGAAGAGAGTAGGACGAATTGTGATTTTCTGTCCTCTCCCTTGCAAATCCCATTAAACAACATATGGCTTTCTCCTCACTTGTGTCCAGTGGAGACAACACATGAAGCAACATTCAGCAACTGGTATAGTCCCACTTTGATTACAAGTCCTATGTCACACTACTTAAAATTCTGTTACCATGAAATCCTACAGACTAGTCATTATTAAATGACTTTTTGTGCTAGGCTACTCTGAGACAGTTACAGCTGAAGAATTCAAATGTAAAATTTTAAGGGGAAAAAAAATAATCAGGTTTTGATTTGAAGAGGGGTGTGACAGACTTAATTTCCCATCCATTCACTTGAAAGTATCACCTCACAGATTAATAAAATATTCTATAGCAACATGCTGCCATCTCACGGTCCTACTTAAAACTGCAATATTAACTGGCTAGGCCAGAAATGGCTACTGAAGGTGGAATGACAGCATCTCCCCTACGTAATTTTTTGGGTACTATATAAGCACAGCAAGATGACAGTACAGTTAGCTTTCCAATACTTCGGACAATTTAGACCTAAGTCATTCAGATGCAGAAAAGTTTTCCATGTAGCCAGTTAGTACAGGATGCACTGCAGAGCATGGTATAGATTACAAAGTCATCTCAGCTCCATGCAGGACAAGTTCCTAGTGCCTCAAGTGTCCGTGACTAGTGTCCAACCTGGAGAAACTGTATGCAAACAATTGAGGGCTGACGGTATTTTTAGGCGAAGGCACATGAGAACATCACCACTGCAATGCACGGTCACCTCTCCAAGTCCAATGTTTTCCTCACGTCCTCAGCAACTAGATAACCACTGTATCCATTTCCACCACTACCCTTCTCTTCCCAGAATATCTCAAACATATGAAACTCGGTTTTTACAGTGTACACCCTGCTATGCAATATGCTTGACCTACAGGAGGTGAAGAGGGGAAATCCCTGACCCACATACTGACTTTTTCTTGTGTACACCCAAGTGTCATACAAGTGAATAAAGAAACTAGAAAGTAACAATGTACTGGCATATTATTTTGTTAATAAGTAATACCAAAACTCACTTTTAAATCTTGAAAGGAATAAATGATTTAGTGGCAAAAATGCATCTGATAAAAAGGCAAGTAAACCTTTCTACTCTTTCTTATGGAACAAGTGAAGAGAAGAGCTAGCAACTGTGTTGCACTATTTATTACAGTACTAGGAAAATTTCTATCCCTGAAGATGAGATGATTTAAACTCAGAACAATTGCTTCTCTTTATATAATACTTACAGTTTAGAAGTCATGGCTTATTAAGTTATGAGGGTTAAAGAATCTCACTCTACCTTTTCCTTTCCACTTAATCTTTGCAACAGACTGGCTAAAATCCACGTGTATCCTTCTGTCATCAATCAGCACATTGTCCATTTTGAAGTAGGCTTTCTCACAGTCTTCCTCCTGGTATTAACGTTTCCAGAAATTCTGAGTCATGATTATTTCATAGGAATATTCACCGAAGAGCTCAAACGCAAATTCAACTGCTAAATGGCATAATTTTTTTCCAAAATTGCCTAAAGCACAGTTCTTGCATTGTGCCATTTCAAAAGAAACAGTTATACTTTGTCTGAACGCCAGCATTTCAAATTCTAATTCTTCAGCTATGTCACCGTTTTAAAAATTTGCCAATCCAGCTACATGTCTGGCACATGTAATACATTCAGAAAAACACGGAAAAAAGGGACAACTAATAAAAGCTCCATTTTAAGTACATAAGTAGAATAAATGTGTTTTCCAGTTTTTCCTCAGAGATTAGCAGATACAAACAAGAAGCTATGCACCACCAAGAGAATTCTTACAGTGTCACAGTAAGAGCAGCATGTTGATAAAGCAAGTTTCGTTTCCAAGCCCAATATAGGACACTGCTGTACACAACAATCTACCTTCTTTTATATACCCTCCTCTCTCTATGCAGCATCCCTCCTTTTCTTCCCAGCACTCCCTTCTTTAACTCTTCAAAGTCTTAATGTGCTCCAGGGGACAAAAGGACCCGCTTCTCCCACCACTTGTTTGAAGATAATCTATGAACATATTTCTATTGCTTGATACAACAGAAAAAGACTTAAATGCTTGCCTCATTTCAGATCTACAACTTCTGTAACTAAGTAAGAGAAAATATTAGCTACCCCACACTTAAAGATTTCCTTAATGGAAGCATACCAAACCCAAACTTTTATAAGCATAATCTACATACAGTATGCCTAAAAAAACATACCTTTTCAAACTCAATGAAAGCGTAACAAAGAGATTCACCAGTCTTCCAGTCTCGAATCACTTCACAGCTGAAAAATTTATATGAAATTAAAATGTCAATGCTGTTGGAGCAAAAAACATAGGATAGCCAAGCACTGCTTAAAAGTGAGAGTAACAGTTAAAAAAAAACCCACCACATTGAAGGTATTATAACAGTTGATTCTAAGACCCCTACTAATGTGGGGGTGTCTGCACAGAAAAAAATACATGAGACATTACTTAAATAATCATTACACTTAACTCACAAGTGGTTAGCATGAAGTGTAAAACTAGGGATGAACTTCTGATTAATGAAACAAACTCTGTTTTCCAACATTGCTGTTTGATAGTAATTTTTTGCATTTCATTAATGACAAGGCAAATTTCATGTTCTGTCTTCTCAGTCACGTTAAGAAAAGTAAACACACATCATGTGACAAACTTTCTTCTCTTAGCAAGCACCTTTTCAGCAGCCATCTTCTTATCAAGCAGTTCACTGAGCAAAAATAGGAAGCCTAAAATATTGAATCAGTAGACACAAAATGGGAACAATGCAGTATTGCATCAGTATTACCAAACTCTGGTACGTGACATGAGAATTCTGACTACAGGGTGCTGAAGGAGATCAGACAGGCAACAAAGGAAGGAAATGTGGTATCAACATGAGACTTAGTAATGTGAGACCTCCCCCATGTGTACTGACAAAGTGACAAATTAGGATACACAATCCAAAAGATAACCAATATCAAAAAAAAAAGGAGAAAAAAAAAAAAAAAAAGACGACAAGGTTATTCAGGCAAGCTATAGGAATGCTCTGCAGCAACTATCAGCAAGGAAGAAGGTAGGACAGTTTTGTAGCAGAACTCTCCTCCCTGGATTATTCAGAGAATCTATTTGAAAGCAGAAGGACTGCAGAAGAGGTACTGAACAAACTGATAGAGGAAAAAAAAAAAAGGAAGGAATCCCTAGGACATCCAGTGGCAAACAACGCCATTTTCACTCACACAGAGGCAGCCTAGTGGAGGATCTGAGAGCCTGCACGCCTGCAGGCTCTCTACTGCACAAACTGGTAGAACGAAAATGTGGAACAGAGCTAGTGTGCATCTGAATCAATAGGACCTACTCAGCACCATTCAAATAAACCTAAGTGAAATTCTCTGAAAGAGTCAATATGGTTATACATGATAATCACCTAATTGATGGAGTCTTTTTAAATCTCTCTGGAAATCCTAATAAACTTTTGTACCAAAGGTTTTTGTGGAAACTAAGCAACAATGGCATAAAAAACATCTTTGCATTGATAAACACGTGAAAGACCAGATAAGAGTAAACAGTCCTTCTCACTAAGAAAGTAAAGAGGTCACCAGTGGAGTTTGCTGATGATACTAAATTGTTAAAGGTGGCAAAAATAAAGACTGAAAAAATTGCATAACATTCTTAGGAAACTGAGTAACAAGATAGCAAATGACATTCAATGTAGAGAAATGCAACAAGACGAGCATGGCAGGGGGAATCCTAACTGTGCATTGTAAATAAAAAATAGCTTTAGCAATAACTAGAAAAAGAGTTGAGAGCAAAACACCACTGTACCACTGTAAATCTGTAATTTCTTTAATATTGTGTGCAGTTCTGGTCCTCTCATCTTGAGATAAGAACAAAACAGAAAAAGGTTGAGACAAGGGAAACAAGGTAAGGAAAATCCCTCTGCAAAGCATAAGTATGTAGGCTAGTACTCTTAAAAAAAAAAGATGACTTTGGGGTATAGGATAGAGGGGTGTAGGAAAGTAGGTTTCACTGCCTTTTGATACTAGCACTAGGAGGAATCAACTGTAATTACTAGAAGCCAAGTTCAAAACTGAAAAAGGGAGTAGGCATGAGGAACACCTTAACGAGGAGCATATCAGATGCCAGAAATGTCTGTCACTTTATCCCAAACCATACAAATTCCCATGGAAAAGAAAAACCCAGAGACTGTATCTAGCTCATGTAGCATCTGAGATAAAAACTGATGAAAGGAGGGAATGGACAGGGCGATGAGGAGAGCATCATGTGCTTTCCTTGCTCCTACATTTCCCTAGGCTTTCACTTAAAAATCACTACTGGGACAGGATACCCACCTAGCTAAATCTGACTCTGTATAGCCATTGTTGTGGTCTCTATTTAAATACATGCAGTCACAGCATAAATCTCCAGACACACCAGAATGCTACTTAACAGCTGAACCTAAACAGACTTGCAGGAATCAAATTGAGTTTCAATAAAGAAGGTTTTCTTTTTTATTTTATGTTAATTACCTTTTAATGGGACCAAAACGTGCAAATATTATCTCTAGGTCTTCATCTGTGGTCACAGGATTCAGTTTACAGACAAACAGCACATTTTCTGGTGGCTTGACCTCTGCGTCTGGTAAGTCTCCCACCTGTGGCATACAGAGAAAGACTCATCACTTCCGCCTAAAGCTCTCTACCTTTTATTGCCACAAGCACACTGGCAACACACCTTCTGGATGATCTCAGACATATTCCTATCACAAAATCAAAAATTAATAAAATTTTTTTTCCTACTCAATGTTACAAAAAACGTTTCCATAGCAGTTAAAAATTACTATCTATTTGCAATTCCACCACTGTGACTTCATGAAAGTCACAAATACTTTCTACCTTGCTTTCCCTGTTCATAACAACAAATACACAGTTCTAAAAAGTTAAAGTGTACTTTTAGAGCCACTCTGTTATGAAAATAAAAATGGACTCCATCCATTCCTTAGTCTCTGTCTGTACCTAAGATCGTCTGTTCTTGAAATCTGGCAACAGCTCGGATAAGCTTAAATTTATGATAGCTTGATAGCAAATTAAGTTAGAGGAGAATGCAAACACACACACCACCTCCTGTTGAATTGTAGTACTTCTTTTTAAAAACTGAACAAAAGACTAGTGATATTTAAATAAATTTATCTCCATCTTTTACTTAATATGCTAATAAAAAGGCAATGCACATTAGTTTGATAGCAGAAAGAAGCAGAATAACACAAGAAGCAGATTCCACAAAAAAGAATACAGAATGAGTTTAAGCACATGACACGGAGAAGTTTACCATTTTGACAGAAGAGCAATGGAACTAGTAGCCGAGGCTCTTCATTTTATATAACATAGCTCCCTATTGCATACTACCCAGAAATACTCACTGAAAATTACTGCACTGGCTCAGTATACCCTACTTGACTTTTTTAGGTAAGAACTTTATCTAGAAAACAGGTCATCCCCACTGCTGCTGCAGCAAAACAAGAGGCCCCACCTGCAGATCTGCTGCAACACTGTGGCCACATCTGGATTGACCTTGGTATTAGTCTCCGATGCAAATTGTTCACCATAAATTTGAATTTAGTAGTTGTAAAGAAGTGTGATGGAATCACCCATCCTTCAACAATGTGTACTTTTTTTTCTTTTTAAAAAAAAAAACAAAAACAACAACAACAAATGACTTCAAAGCCTATTCAAATTCTTTGTTACTATATGGAGTTTAAAATGGCCAGCAGTTGCCAAATATTGTATTTTAGAAGGAAGAACATAAAGTTAACCAATGTTAAATTCAACTAATCCCACAGAAGGAACACTGCCATTATGTAGATTAATAACGCAACCTCAATGCCACTCATACATACTGGGAAGAGAACATCACAAGTTAGCTCAGCTCTCTCCCACACATGCTAAACCTTTTCCAGGATTATAGATATTCAGCAGCATATTATGTATGTTATGTTTTTTAACTGGATGCACTTCTAGCAAGTTTTTATAAAGCCTCCACTGGTCCACTTTTAATCCTGGCTCTGAAAATGAAATATCGCCTGTTTTTATCAGAAAACTGCCTCCAGTGTTCATGCTCAATCCTTTTCATTCTATGACAGACGTTTAAAAAGCACAGATTCAGAGCCATAACTTCATCATCAGATAAGCAGTTTCAAGATAAATAGTACCCATTGTCTCAGACTTAACATAACACACACGCACACAAGAGGAATATCATCTACAAAGGTAAATACAGGAAGATGTTCACCATTTCCAGAAGAATGGCACGAGTTTTTGCTTCTTTTTCTGCCTGAACTTCTTCTATTTCATCTGTAGACAGTCCTTTCAAGTCATCAATTTCTTCATCTGCTCCTATTCTGCCACTCTGAAAAATGAAGAGGAAAGATATTTGCTACCAAGACATGGCCAAAAATTCTTTCTCACTTTCCAAATATTACTTGGATGACCTCACCTCCCAAGACATGAAAAATGCTTAAGCACTGTATCCCTGCAGAACTGGGCTTTCATTCTGTTCTTCCCACTTAGATTTAAAAAAGAGCGAGATGATGTTATCCTTGTGTTTCAGGCACTGTGAACTACATATGAACTTTCAGGCCCAATTTGAACCATATTCAGCTAGATATTCTGAATTCTTTTATACTTCCATCTCATATTCAACATCTCACCACAAGTATCAACTAATTTCTAATCTAGGCAGTTCCTACCAGAAATGAAGATAAGCAACACTGCAAACATCTGCAGTGTCTACTAAGACTCAAACATTAACTCAACAAGAACTTTATTTTTACACTTCTACTTCTAGGCAGAATTTGAGGTTTCATTTTTCCCTCCTCATCAGCATCTCTAGAATACTGCCCTTCTTACAGGCATTTCTACATCAAAAGGTATATTTTCAGACAAGGCTATGAGGAAAGAAAACCAAGTATAACTTTTCAAATCTCTAACAGTTGGCAGTGAGCTATTAAACTCCTTATACCGTTTAACATTATCTGAAGGTGCATCAGAGACTAACCACAGTGTAGATGTACTATGAAAGCCTAATTCCAATCTTGTAATTATATCTACTAAGCTTAAAAATAAAGAGTATTACCTCTAGTCAATTTATTCATTGCTTGAAACAACTGTTTCCATACAAGGAGATAATTGCACATAGCAACTTTCATAACTGCATGCTGTGAGTAAATTATAAATAATTATATTTTTAGCAAATTCCTTCTGCTTGAACAAATACACCATAATAGCACGCATGCCTGCAGATATAACTCAAAGAATGATCAAGATTACTTTCACTGAAACACAGACTATTTCACATTTAATAGCAATAAGCACTTTAATATTAATGTTAGTTATATTTTTTCTACCAGACTATACCAAAACCCAGTCATGTCAAAAGTGACTATTCTGAATGTTCTGCTAATCTACACTGTAATCAGAAAACTAAAATTTGGCTTTCCAACCTAACTCTACCGCAGTCACAGGGGAAAGCACCCATGCCACCCTTTTATCCTTTTCTTGAAAGATTAAGAAGATGTATCTGATTAAACACAGCAATAGCCACGAATAACAGACAAGCACTTCACATACCAGAACTCAAGCTGGCATAGAAGAGCATCTCTTATCCTCCTATGCTAGAAATGTGTAGTTTTATAGGATATAGATCTGGCAAAGTCTTAAAGACAGAATTCTTATTTTGACCAAGTCTATGCTGACCACTAATAGGGATAAATTTAATTATAGCTTCTTGGGGAAAAGTTGGAAAAAATCATAAACACTCACATCTAGCTGTTCCTTAGTAGGTTCTGGCGAGCGATCAGGAATAGACAAGCCAGGTGGATCTTCAAATGGATCATCTAAAATTACTGTATGATTTATCCTTAAACAAAATCAAGACCATCATCAGTCACATGCAAATAAAGCTCTCTTTACCCAAGCAACAGGAACCCTGTTGATTCTCAGTTATATCTGCAACAGCCAAACATACTGTATGCTTGTAAATACTAGTACTGGTGCTTTTGTAAAGGCAACATAGCTGCACATTTTCTTACACAGTTCTTTACTTTAGTACCTGCTTATTTTACCAATAACACTAGAATAAAAGAGTATTTAAGATACCATATACAGGTCACCTGACATTGCTATATTAATCTAGTTTCCAAAACCAATTAATTTGTTTAATTACAGTGTTTTCCTCAAAAAGGGAAATTAGAAGTAGTCTCACCTGATATCTTGATACGGGATAAAATCCTTATCTACAAAGGTTTCATTAATTGTCTTCAGCACATCCATGCCTTCTGTCACTTCTCCAAATACTGTATGCACACCATCAAGGTAATCCAAGTTTTCCCCTGTAGTAATAAGAAACTACAGAAGAAGATACAAAACCATTAAAAGCAAATAGAAAAATTCAGAGCTTGAGTTTTACCTTAGGAGAGGTAAAACTCTCACTGAAATCAGTGGGGGAAAAAACCTCTTCCTGACTTCTGCAGGAGAAGATTAGTCTTCTTCCCATCAGCTGTGAGAACACAGTGAGCCAACCTACATCTCACAGCCACCACCTGAGGCAGACAGGCTCTCTCCTGCAAGCCTGCCTCTGCACAAGCTCACAGTTCCGGCTCAATGGACCCTTTAGTGAATCGGTTTGTCTCAGTAACTTGGCAGAAAAAAGACTGGCAGAGGAAGAACAGATAGTTAGTTACCTGCCAGGTAGGTGTTGGGCAAGATCAGCAAAGGTTATGACAGGCATCACAGCTGATGAAAGGGAAAGCACAGAAAGAGCAAGGCTACCCCTCTGGGCAGCAGTGCACGGAGCTCAAATCACCTGGTCAAACTGCATTCCACCCGTGCATTTTCACAACTTTTGCAAAAGCTTCCACAGTTCTACCTTCACTTAACTCTATCCAGACTTTTTTCCTTTCTTCCCTTGTACCACAAACCCTTCTCTCCCCAAAAAACAGGATGCAGTAGCATCAAGAGGAGAACTGGAATACAGTAGCATTGACTTAGATCAGACTGAACTGGCACTGAAAGGTATCCTAACAAAAGTCAGGTGTTTTGCTTTAGGGCAAGACTGGAATATGAAAATTGATACCAACTGAACACTTGGTAACAAATTAAAGATGGAGGAAACCGGGTCATGAACAAAGGAGGAAGAAGCAGATATGCACAAGGACACAGCCATTACATCCACACTTTACAATCTGACTGATAACACCTCACTCCTCATTCTCTGCAACACAGTTAAAACTGGTCAGCGTTTGGTATAGGTTACAAATATAATGTAGCTAATTGTAAGCCAACACCATGTAATTCTTCACTGGAATTTTTTTTTCCCCAAGGAAGAAGCTGCAATAATGCTCCTGGTAACTGCATTCATTCCCATATGTCTGTGTATATGCTAGCAGGCTGCATTCTTAAATATAAACACAAATGTCATCTCTTTTTTCTTAAACCCCCCCACCTAAACAATTTTATATGTAAAATTCAGGGAAGCAGCAAAATTAACTCCATATATTACAAGCTCTAGCTAGAATAAAACCATATGGGTGTTTTAACTACTCTGATTATTACAAAACTCCTCTTTTTTCAAATTAAAACATACGGATATTACAAATGAGGCATTTTAATATATAAAAGTGGAAATGCACCTAAACCAATAATTTAGAAATAATATCATCCTATGAGATTAGAGCTTTAAATATGCCTACAGCAAAACCCTTGGGCACATGAACAGGGAACAGCAAAGGGAACAACAACAGTTTCAAAAATGTTTTATACCAATACTGGAATAAAACTGTAAACTTGCATTGTATTATTAATGCACACTTTTATGTGATCATACAGAGGAAACTGTGGTATGACCAGTTTCCAAACTGACATGAAGTTATAACCAGAAAGTTTTAAGATTATTTCAAAACCCAGTTACCTTACTTTTCACTTCCATTTAACTAGCTTTTTCCTCGCCATTCTATATATTAGCAAAATTATATCAAGGTTTTAACAGAAATGAATAAACAAAGGAAAAAAAATAGAGTAGTGAATGCTAATGAATAAAATTCATAAAATTAATTTAGGACAGGATTTTAATCTAAGCATTTCAATCTCTTTCTTGTCTGTAATCAAATACCCACTGGCACCTGAAACACTATGCAAAATACTTATCTGTGGCTGTTTTCTTACATGCCTTTTGACCATGTTACAAGATGATGCTATTGAGATGACACTGTCACTGTTATGTCTTTTGTAAATTCAAGAAATTTTCATTTTAGTTATTCAGATATGTACCAAGGCTTTACAACACTGTATGCTGACCTGTGATCCATGTTGATCATTGCCATTGTTCACCATTGACACAGTTCCCTTCTTCTTGTGCTTAATTCTTGGCACTTTTTCTGCCTCAAAAAATCTAGCTTGATCACCATACAGTTGACTGAAAATACATATAACAAATATGTTACAAGACAAAGGAATTTTAAAAAGCAATATAAACAAATGCTGTAAAACAAACAAAATTACCTAATTTTTCTTTACATTAGCATTCAAATAAAACCAGAATTTACACTGCATCTGTGTACATTTTTATGGATCTGTACACTTACATAATTCACTTCATATTACAGAGAGCAGTACATTTTTCTCTGAGGCATTTCCCAGAGGCTTTTGGGGGGGCCATGCAGGGTGACATGCATTAGTATGATTTTAAATGCAGTATATAACATTTTTCTAAGGCATGAAGCAAATACAAATTCTGATAAGTAGGTTCCATAAAAAGAAATTAATCCAAACTACGGATTAAAAATGTAATAGTTTACGCCAAAAATTTCTCTTCCAAGATAAATGGAAAGCCACTAAATCTATGTGTAAACTTAGTTCACCATACAGACAGGACAGCATACAGTAATTTGAGATACACAGGATATGGCAAATTGTTAAATTCTTTTAAATTTTTTAAGTCTAACCCCGATACCATGCATTTTGTCTCACTCCATGACTGACAGGCATAGTTAATACACACATTTGTCCAAATTTAAGGGCAATGTTGTTTTTGAACTCATTCTGCTAAACAAGTCTAAGTCTCTATGAAGAGAGGATTCAAATTAAACTTTGCCTGCATCAGCTTCCTGGGTAGCAAGAACAGAAACTCCTATTTTGTGGACTTCAGCAGTAATGAACAGATAGAAAAGACAAATTTCCATTCTCCATGCTAGTAGCAGAACAGAATCTGCCACTCTGACATCACACTATACTTCCTATCTGCCATATCAACAAGCCTCAGAAGACCAATCCTTATGAAACAGCAGAATATCAAAATAAACTCAATCTACCTGCATGCAGAGACAGCCCATGTCTGGTAAGTTTACCTACCTACACTTGCATCTGCTTAGCACAATTATACTGTTTCCAGGATCACCAGAGTGGTGATCCATGTTCAAGGTTTTGTATTTATGAGACTCTCACAGACCAGACTTAGAAAAGTCAACACTGGTCTAGTAACACTGTCTCTGTTCAAATTAAGCTGTTTATCTCCATATACTATGTTACTCTGCACTCTAGGTTAGCTCTGCAATTTTAATTCTACTTTTAATAACAATTTCAAAGGAATCATATAGAACATACGCACTGTGCTAACTTCCATCCTAGCTGTTTGAATGACTTCTTCAACTTTTATGGGCATGACCACTGAAAACATCTTGGACAAGGAACTGATTACCTTATTACACATTCAACATAATAAAATGAACTCAAGTAAATTTTTGGAGCAACAGGATTAATTTCTTAGATGCACAGGAAATCAAGCATAGCCTCTGTATTTCCCTTTCGCTCAATTAAGTACATTGTTACAAAAATAAAAGTAGTAACAAAAAACTGCTAATGATTTCACCTTCTACAGAGCACTTAGTTACTATACTTCTTTTGGAAAACAAACCTATAGTTATTTGTTAACTTTTAAATAAACAGAAATTTATGTGCAACTCGCTATTTGTAACTAAGCTTCTAAGGTCAGAAACAGAATACAGTCCAGAAAAAAAAAAATCTGACTGGACAAAATCAGCGTAGGAATTAAAAAGGTATCTAGGTACAACAACCAAAGCAGCTTATGAATCAATGTTTTTACTTCCCATCAGTAACTCTGTCCCACAAGAGCTGAAGAAAATCTAAGTGGAACTCCTACTCCCCCATACAACTTCTCTGTCGATTAAGTAACACAAGAGTTTTACTTACCAAAATATGGATTCTCCTCCACGGCCAGTTCCCATGGGGTCACCAGTTTGTATAATAAAATCCCTCTGTCACAAAGCAGAAATATATAAGATACTGCTTTCATGTTTGTGAATTTAAACCAAGAAAAAAATAAGGAATTGAAAATACTCACTTGTACATTATAAATAAGACAATAGTTGTAGTACTTGACTTTACAGAGCTTCAGAAAATTCAGACAAGCTGTAAGAAATTATACCAACATTTACTCAATAAAACCCCAGACACTGTAAGGATAGGTATAACAGATATCCTGTTCAACGTATAGAAAAATGGTTTTGGAGCAGGCTGTGTTAAGACTTAGCAGAGTTCAACCTATAAACGCTGTGAGAAATACTCTAGGGAGAGGTAACCCTACCTCCCTTCCTAAAGCCTCTCTCTAGTGATTCAGAGAACCCTATAATAGCTAGTTATACCGAAACGCACATTTTTTTCTCCCCACTTTCTTTCCAAATACTTCATAAAGAAGACCACAGATGCTTTTCGATTTAGAATACGTTATATTTGCTCTTTTTCATAAATTATCATTTATAATAAAAGCACAATATAACCCCCCCGAGTTTCCCAACAGCAACTGACGCTTCCAAGTATCTCAAACACACGCACACCAGCTGCCCAGGGGAACGCTGATGGCCACAGAAAACTTGGCATCGTCTGGCTCTAATCCCAGGACGGGGCCCGACGCGATGTGCCCAGACAGGGGGTGGGAGCAGGCGCCCTGCTGACCGAAACCGCCGTTTGCGGCCCGTTTCCTCAGGAGGCCGCGCCGGCAGCCAAGCCTCCATGGTGGGGGAGCGGCCGGGCATCTCTGAGGCGGCCCAACGGCCCCTTCTCCTTAGAAGGCTTCCACCCGCCCGCGCAAAGGGAAAGACCCGCGGCCGCCCCAGCTCCCCCGGCCCCGACGCGCCGCGCTCCTACCGCGGGGCCGTTCCTCCGTGTAGAGGTCGATCACCAGGTCGCCCAGCGTGGTCTCCAGCAGCACCGCCATGTCCGCCACCCGCCTCCGCACCTTGGCGCGGGGCCGCCCTCTGC